TAATTAATTAATTAATTACTATTTTTAGAACTTGGTTTATGGGTTGTTGTTTTTTGAAATATCAGATTTTCCTTCAGAACCTCTGATTCAATTTTATGTATGAGATGATTAGATTAGACAGACACATGTATGCAAGTGTGTACACTGTAAAATTAGTCTTTGGGTCTAATCTTATGCCTCTTCTCTCCCCTCCCCACAATTTAGATTCATGGATTCTAACACAGAATCCCCTTTATTTTAGATCTAATTGCATTTCTTTTTCTTTGCCCTGGTTCTACTTTCCCCTTCCCTTGTAGATTCTCCATTTGAGAGAAAGTTCTGTTAATAAAACAAGTGGCATTATCAGCGGTCTGTGTATATTACCAAGCAATTTCTACACAAGCCATTCCTTACACAGAACAGCTAGTTTCCAACTGTTATGGGTTCAATAGAAAAGTCCCATTTTGTGCACTCCCCTAATTACTACATGTCACATTCTCCCTGATATAAACAGGACTTCACATAGCATATATCATTACCCTCTCTTTCCCCTATGAACCAATTTTGATTCCATCTTTTAAGCATAGATCATTAAACAACATGAGAAGATTATGATTGAGAGGCAAAAAGTAAGTTGCTATCTATAGCTTGTTGATCCTATTTTCCGCTTTTCTTTGCTTACCTGTATCAGTTAAATTGGGACTGAAAGAGTGACTCAGCTGTAATCCTAGGGAACGCCTTGGGGAAGATGCAACAGATGAGCTCAAAAGATGGCTGGGGATAGATGATGGCCCAGGTGCTACCTTTAGCCGGTCATTTTCAGCTTTCAATAGATCTACCTCCAGCTAAAGGAAATGAAGAAAGAGTAAAAGCTGGGATAATATACCTAATAAGAATACCACTCATTCACACCATTCATTTATTTAATGGGCTTATATGCCACTCCCATCCAAACTTATCTGAGCAGTTTACATATCTAATTTATGTAAATGTGGTTAAAAATTACAGCATTAAAACCAAGACAACAAAAACCAGCACCATAATAAATAAAACTACATTCATTGCACTTTGATTAAAGAAACTGTAATGGCAATAATTTATTGATTGATTAGTCTTATGATCATATCTTAATTACAGGAAGAAGCAGCTTGTAACAGTCCTATTGGAAAAAAAAAACAGCATTGGCAGCTTTTCCAGGAGGATAAGGACAATCCTAATCTCAGGGCAGTGGTGGATTCAGCCAGTTCGCACCACTTTGGGAGAACCAGTTGTTAACTTTCTGAGCAGCTTGGTAAACTGGTTGTTGGAAGAAATTATCAGGGCAGAGAACCAGTTGTTAAAATTATTTGAATTCTACCACTGTCTCAGGGGATAAGTGTTTGGAAGAAAGGGACACTTGAAAGGGCCCACTCCAAAACCCAACGTCTGAAGATGGCAATTGAACCAAACTAAAATTGGATCTTATAAGATAAGCAAAAGCAATTTGGGGAAGGTAGTCCTGAAGGCATCCAGGTCCTATATCATGCACATTGAATTGCAGCTGGCAACCAACATAATGGATCCCAGAGACTAAAGACACAGCAGTAAGTTCTAAGCTTGAACCATTGGAAAAAGAGGTCTTTAAAACCAGATGTAGTTTTTGTATTTCTTTTCCACCAGAGAGCAGGTGCTTGATAGCACTTTATTTTGTTCATTAGCATTGCTGTCAAACCTGCAGTAGTGAAAGTTAAGCAATAAAGAGGACAGTAGAGCTTTACTGACTCCTAAGCAAAAGAAAAATTGCTTTGAGCTCCAAAACTACATTAGTTCTTGCTTGTGCTACTCTCTCTCTCTGTCTCACTGCCTTTCTCTAACAACATTTATTTTTATTTTTACTTGTTCTGAAACCATGCATGTGTTTGGAATATAATCAGGACAAGAAATGGATCAAAGGACATATTTTGTTAGCCTTAAGGTGTGTACCTGACCTTATTTAGTTTTTTAATCTCAAGAAATATGTGGGGCAGTGAGTCACACTGTGACCAAGATGAGTTTTAAAATAGAAAAGAGCCTCCACTGGCACTAAAGAGGCTCTTGGGCTTTTTTTTTTTTTAAAAAAAAAACCTTACATCAGGGAAATTATGTATTTGGAAATTAATCAAAACATTTAAGGATCAATAACCTATGCACAACTGTTCAAAAAGTGTACTTCCCCTGCTAAAAATTAAATCAGCAGTATCAGCTGCGGGTAATGTGGGGCATACAATTGTTTTATTGTTTAATGAAAACACACCTAAGGCACTCAGAAATTGGTCCCCATAGCAATGTACAAACTGCAATCTGAGCCATAATGCCAACTCCACAGAGCACCAGTCCTACCTGCATATTATGCATGGTTTCACGCAGCTGATCCAGCTGATGGGCAGAGTTTAGGGCTTCCAACCGAATGTCAGTCAGTTTCATTTCTTTTTCCCATAGTTCTGAGCGTAATTCGGAAACCTCCTTTTTCTCGGGTTCTTCTTCATTGGTCTGGAAAAGTCTTGCGTAAGGAACGAAAAGCCATTAAAGCAGAGAATAAAAGACAAGTACCGTGTACAGAATTAATGTTATGTCAAACTTAATCTAATCTGCCCATTCTAATCTTCCCAAATACCAAACTGCCCAACACAAGCCTTCCTCTTCTGCCTCCATTCCAGCTGGAGGCTGGACTTACTCAGTGGTATCCATGCCTACAGAAGAGGAGTTGGAAGATATGATGGAAGGAGAGGCTGTTTCCATGGATCCGTGCTGCAGTTTTGGTGATGATGGTGCTGAAGAATCAGGGGTGGCGATTTCCTCTATATCAGAATAGGAGGAGGCGGATTTTGGACCCTTTTTGATGCTGAAAGCTTTGTTGAAAGAACTCCTTAACTGAAGAGGAAAATACAGATAGAGAAAAGGTTAGGAAAGCCCACCCAGAGTCTTCATTAAAACAAGGAAATGCCTCTCTAATCATTTTGAATACTTTTCAAAGACACTCAGTATCCTCGATTGTTTTTTTAAATATAATCGCATATATCATACTCCAGACAGAATGTTTCTAACATTAAGTAAGCCAACAGCTGTTTTAAGAGAATTTATATTCTTTCAAATACAGATAGCTACATTTAATTAATTACTATTTAAGATACAGATTAATACGCATTCCACCCATAAGCATGCACTGAGTGGGGTGGGGGGGTGGGAAACCCATTTTTCCAAACATCTTTCAAGAATAGGAATGCAAGCATATAAAAGGTGATTGAAAGGTTAAGAAGTATCTATGATTTGTGTTCAGTGCATCTTAATTAGGCTCCCCAAGCTACCAGCCAGCAGACCTAAGAGGATTCAGCAGCAATGCTGGTTGGTTTCAAGCAAGCCAATGTAAATAAGTTGGGTCAGGGTGTGGGGCCGTGAAAGCCCTTTTGACAAAAGTAGGCTTGCTCCCCTTCGACTCATGGCATGTGAAATGCCTCAAGCTGAGTCAGCTGCTGGCAAGGAAGTGAAATTATTCTAAATGTCACTATTATTATCTCTTGCCATGAAAAGAACCAGACGACTTGCATGATTGGAAACCATAAATCTGAGTCCTTGCGGGAAGCTAAATATATAAACCTTGCTTGTTTGAAAGAAAGTTTGCTTGAAAGAAACACAGCCCAGCATGTCTTGAGATTCCAAAGCAATAATGTATTTCTTGCAGGTTAGGGAAAATGCAGATATGTGGTGGGTCCTTCTCTCCACACCCCCAACCAGCTACTTTAGCAACATAAATAAATGACCTTATTCTGCACACTAATAAAGTAAACCATATTCAGACATGTCCAAGACTGAAACCTGGACATGTCTGAACATGCACTAGAGTCAATAATCAGCAACAACAATGACACAGATCAACTGAAATCTTACATAGAATTGCTGCCATTGTCATGTATGTCTAATGTATCAGAAGGAGATTAGTTCAAAGTGTTCTGGAATTTTAGCAACAAGAACTGTTGCTTCTCGTGGGAAACAAGTGAGGGTAGGGTTTTATCTTTTCACAAAAATCTTAAAAGATGAAGAGAATGACACTTGGACAACAGGTTTATAATCTAATTATAATGCACTACCACTATCTCTTTATGGAAACTGGGATTCTTAGGAGTAGACGAGACTTGTCTCAGAAGAGCCTATGCTTCCCCGTGGCTATTTAGGAACTTGGTTCAGTTACAAGTTTATTATAAACATGCCATAATTGATTCCTTGGATCACATGGTTGCTTTTTTTCAAAGCAGAGGAAAAAAGATGCTGAGGAAAATCTGAGCATGCAAAAGGTTCTAGTGGTAGTAACCACATCTTGGTGGATCTAGTCATTTCTTGGGAACTTTTTGTATGTCTATAGGTCTATCATAGCAAAAAAAGAGGTATAAATATAAATTTAAAATCTTTATCTGAGGAATTATAATATTTTTTTTAAAAATTAAAGGAAATTAAAGGAAGGGGAAAGGGAGACAGAATTCATGCATTTCTTCTTGTCACCATGACAGGAAAGAAGTCATTGTATTGATAACATGCACTCTATTTGTTACACATTCAGACATTAAAAGTAAATGTTCCCCTTGCACATATGTGCTAGTGGTTCCAGACTCTAGGGGGCAGTGCTCATCTCCATTTCAAAGCTAAAGAGTGGCCGGCATGACTAAATGCCGAAAGCGCATGGAACACTGTTAGCTTCCCACCAAAGGTGGCTNTGTACCAAAAAAAGTTGTCGTTAATTAGCAGCTTACCTTGAAAACCTGACAGACAGCTTCATCCAGCATTTTCCAGTCCAATTTCCCATTCACTTTACTACTGCCCAAATAAAACTCCTGCTGCTTCAAGTCCTGGAAGCCAAACCAGAGGTACAATATGGCTGGGGATGTTTACAATGGCAACTGGATCATCTCATTAAAGTTATATCCCCTCCCCCAAATATGTTGCATATGAGACATACTGTCCCAAACAGTGACCTCTCCCTCCTTGTGATGGTACTTACTCCTTTGATGATGTGCTGAGGTGGCATGCGCACTACTATTCGCAGTACCATTTCATCCTTCTGGGTACCAGCACTGATGCCATCCATTGGTGACAGTTCTAGAAAAGCAAAATTCAAGAATGTTGTATTTGTCACCCTCATTTTAATCACTGAGAATCCTACCTATTGAAATTGAGTTAGTTGCACCGTATTTGCCAACTAAAAAATTATATCCATTATTCCCCCTCCATCAAGTCCAGAAAGTTAAAAAAAATTCCCCTTTACAATTATTTTTAAAATTAATTTTTAAAATTATTTCCAAAACCTGATGGGACAACTAAGAACTCTGCTTTGCTTTATTTGAATTTAGTAACTCTCAGAGAAAGCCCTTATGATTTGAGGGGAAAAAGATAAATTTTGCAGTTCCATTGACAATTGTTCCTTTTTCACTCTACTTCAAATTGTATGTATGTATGTATGTATGTATGTATGTATGTATGTATGTATGTATGTATGTATGTATGTGTTGCATTTGTGCTAAATAAATAAAGGGAGACTAGTATAGATCTATTTCAAGCTAATTAGCTTTCATCAGCTAGACGTGGCTAGCTGATGAGAGCTAAATAGCTTGAACATTTCTAGCTTTTGAATGAGTAGGGGGGTGCGTACACGTGTACACACACACACACACACTATACACACACACACATATATATATAACTATATATATATATAACTATATATATAAAACTATATATATAACTATATATATAACTATAACTAAACTATAACAACTATAACTATAACTATAACTATAACTATAACTATAACTATAACTATA